TTACCTGATAGATTAGAAGGTCACGCATTTGTCGGTAGGTTGACAGCAGATCAGAAGCAACATGTTGTTGATTTGACAAAGAGAAAGGTTCCACCTAGACATATATTGCTTTCATTGCAAGAGCAAGATCCAGATAATGTCACTCGGATCACGCAAATATACAAACAGAAGAGTATGATAGAAAAAAATATAAGAGGTCCTAGAAGTGAGATACAACATTTGTTTAAGCTTGTTGAGGAAGCAGGTTATGTTTATTGGAGTAGAAAAAGAGATGACTCTGAAGTAATTAGAGATATCTTTTGGGCTCATCCAGATTCAGTTAAATTGTTGAATATTTTTCCTATTGTGCTAGTTATGGACAGCACTTACAAGACAAACAAATATAGGCAACCTCTGTTTGAAATTGTTGGCATGACATCAACCGAGTTGACTTTTGCCATCGCATTTGCGTATATTGAGTCTGAGCAAATTGAGACTTTTTGTTGGGTGCTAGATAAGCTTAAACAATTGTTTGTGAAGAAAGAGTTGTGTCCACAAGTGATTTTGACAGATAGAGATCTTGCTTTAATGAAAGCCATTGAAATTGTGTTTCCAAAGTCGATCAATATGCTATGTCGATTTCATATTAACAAAAATGTTGGTGCAAAACGGAAACAATATGTGGCTAGTGAAATGCAAAAGAAAATTGACGATTTATGGACAGATGTTGTATGGGCTAGTGATGAGGTTGAGTATGATCAAAGGTTGAACCAACTTGAGCAGGCGTGTGTTGATTGTAATAAATTTATTGATTATGTGAAGGACACATGGTTGACACCACATAGACAAAGATTTGTTGGAGCATGGATTGATCGAGTGCTACATTTGGGTAACACCACGACTAATCGGTATGTATTTATTTTTAGTATTTATAAATTGTATTTTATTTTGAATTTTTTAAAAATATTTTTAATCTGTATTAATTTTAGGGTTGAGTCTGCTCATTGGAAGTTAAAGCAAATGTTAGGGAACAATATTGGTGACATGGTCAAATGTTGGGAGGCTATGAATGACAACTTGAAGTTACAATTGAGTAATATTAGAGCTTCTTTTCAAAAGAGTTTTTATGAAGTTGAGCATGCCCACGTAAGTCCATTTTACAATAATTTACGTGGTTCAGTATCTCGAAATGCATTGAGACGCATTGCTGAAGAGTTAAAGCGAGTTGATTATGTTGGAACTAACAAGGAAACATGTCGTTGTACTCTTAGAACAACCTACGGATTACCTTGTGCTTGTGAGTTGACAGGATATAGAATTGATGGTATACCGATACCAATAGATGTTGTACATGTTCATTGGAGAAAACTAAGTATGGAAGTTAAGTTGGATGAAGACGTAGATGATGGATCAGAGGTGGATATGAGTAGTGCAATAGATGAGTTATGGAAAAGGTTTAAGTCACTGGATGTTGTTGGGAAAAGGGCATTAAAAAGTAGGGTGTTTGAACTTGCCTTCCCTACAATGACTTCTATGTGTCCACCACCTGAAAAAATAAAAACTAAAGGGGGAATCAAGAAGAAAGACAAAAAACCAGTAGGATATGATGTTTATAGAGACCCTTCTTATCACGAGTATGTTGATCAAGCATCTCAATCTTCACAGATGCAATCGCAACCATCACAAACTTCGAAGAAGTTGAAATTATCACAGTCTTCACAAAAGAAATCTCAACCATCACAAGCTTCGAAGAAGTTGAAATTATCACAGTCATCTAAGCAGTTCATCCTTCAGTTTCCTAATCACATTCGGTCATATATTGATGACGTAGTTAATGTTGTATCAGATGGTAATTGTGGATTTAGAGTCATTGCTTCATTGCAAGGATTGGGTGAAGATGGTTGGTCAATGATTCGTCGAGACTTGGGGTTGGAAATAATACATAATGAAAGATCAAGTTTGTATGCCAATTTATTTACTGATCAGTTAGCAGTGGTGAGAGAATCTTTGATGATAGAGGAAGTCGGTTCTCAACCACCACATAAATGGTTAACTCTACCAGATATGGGTTACATGATAGCGAATCGTTATAATGTTGTACTTGTCTGTTTAGGAATTGAATGCTGGACTTTCTTCCCTATGACAACTTCATTTTCACAGAATGCAGCAATCTACTGCATTGGTTTTGTAAATGGAAATCATTGGGTTCAGGTACTTAGTTGTTTTTTTGATAATGCGATTAACCCTAAGTATTTTTATTTATTTTTTACTTACTATTTTGATTATTTTTTTATTTAGGTGAACATGAAAGAAGGGTTTCCATTGCCACCGGTGACAGTAGATTGGAAGAATTTTCGTTCTCCAGCAGCAACATCTTGGATGCTAGGATTTGCACCACGTCTACAACATTGGCAACAACTTACGCCTATATTACCAACACATTATACATTATAAATTATGTTACTCATTTTTAATTTCAAAACATGAATAATGAATTTTGTTACTCAATTTTAATTTCAAAACTTATAATATGTAAAGCCTCGAACAAATCCGCAAACTGTGGGTCAAATGAGTCTAAAAGTTAACATATAATCATAAATACAAAATATAAGTCACTGTGATCGAGCAATATGTAAAGCCTCAAACAAATCCGCAAACTGTGGGTCATCATCTTCAGCACCAGCCTGCTGAAGATAACGATGAATCAACGAAGACACACGAGCCCAACTAGGATCAGATGGTCCTGCTTCATACACTGGAACTGGCATCTCTGCTGGCATCTCTGCTGGCATCTCTGATGGTGCATCATGATAGGGTATCGGTACCAATCGAGGATGAGAGACACGATAATACCACTCAAGATATCCATCATCTGTCTCGTATGGGGTGGTGGCCGGTGCTGTCGGACGAATCACATTCTGGACGCTCTGATGGTAACTAATCCAGTCAACATCAATATCACCAGCCATCCTGTGATCAATAGGTGGATGTGGAACATATTGCCTGTATCCAAACTGACGCATACATCTGTCAGGCAAATATGGAACAATAGTGTCACCCCACCTCAGACACCCCCTATATAGGCATAACTCATCGAACTGACGCCATACTCTATGATTCTCGAATGGGCGCCATATGACATCAGCAGGTGTCAGCTCGTCCAAAATAGGTCGTAACTCATCCACCTTCAAGGCACCTTGCCTATATGACCATCTCATCGCTCGAGGGAGACCCACATTATGAGCTGGTATCCAGTTCTCTCCTTTTTTTCCAAGTGTTGGAAAATACTCATGAATCCAGCACTGTCACAAAATTAATATGGTTATTAACATTAAAATAATTAATTATAACATAATAAAATTTATTAAAACAAAATATACTAAATTAAAATAAATACCTGTAAGAGAGTCGGATAACCACCAAGCTGCTTACAGCTGAACATGGAAGCATCTCCGAGATATCTGTAAAGAGTAGCCAACGCAGCTGCTCCCCAACTGTATCCAGATAAGCCATCCAAGTCTATAAACAGTGAGAGGTATCGTGCCTCGACAAGCGTAAACGTCTTGTCCGCAAAAATCGTGGAACCCACCAACATCAACAAATAAGCTCTAGTGGCATAATGCCATCTAGATGCAGCTCTATGCTCAACGAACAGATCATATAACCACTCCAGCTTGTAGTAGGACCCCCTGCATTCACGGACTTGTTGTTGTGCTACTCTCTGTGACACTCCTAAATGATCAACAGCCCACTCAACAGCAAGGGCTTCACTGATATCTTCAGGGCTCCAGAAAACTCCCCTGATGGGCAAGTGAAGCAGGCAAGATACGTCATCTAGAGTAATCGTCATCTCACCAAACGGCATGTGAAATGATGATGTTTCTAGATGCCACCTCTCTGCAAAAGCGGAAACTAGGTTTGTGTCTATCTTTGATAAACTGGTTCTCTGTAGTGAAGCTAAACCAGACCTAGATATCCATCTCTCCATCTCTCTAGGTAGCTGTAGTGGAACCCTTTAAGCCAACTTCAACCCATGTCCAGCCACCTTTAATTCTTTCTTCGACCCTCTCTCCTGAAAAAAATTAAAAGTAAATATATTATAAAATTCAATATTAAAAATTCGAAATGACCGTCAATATTAAATAATTTTCGTTTACTTACCTGACCGAACCATATACGGTATGCAATATGTTGTTCGTACTTAACTAACAGAGACGTATCATATGGTCCTCCTGGATATCCAACTGGTTCGGATGCTGATGCAGATGCATCAAAATGCTCTTCTTCAGCCATCCTGGAGGACTCGCCCCGTCCTAATCCGCGAGGGATCCTACCATCTCTGCCTCGTGTGCGCACCACTGAAAAAAAAAACAATATAATTAAAAAAAATTAAAATAAAAATATATAATTAAAAAATAAAAATTAAAACCATAATAATAAATAAATATAATTAAAAAATTTAAAAAGTAAATTAATAAATAAAATAAATAAATAAAATAAAAATTAAAATAAATAAATAAATTAAAAAAAAAACAAAAAAAACAATGAACCGGAAGACATGAAGAAAGTCTTCCGGTGAAGGAATTAGGAAAAATGTCTTCCGGAACACTTAAGCGAAGTCTTCCGGTGAAGAAATCCAAGAAATTGTATACCGGAAGACATGCATTAAGTCTTCCGGTGAAGGAAAAAAAAAACAAAGGAACCGGAAGACTTACTTGAAGAGTTCCGGTTTGGCTAGCGTGAAAAAGTGACTTCCGGAAGACTTTAAGGAAGAGTTCCGGTTTGAGAGATGCAAATGGGTGTTCCGGAAGACTTTTAGTGCAAATGAAGTGAAATGAAATTTTTTTTTTAAATTATACTATTTAAGGAAGGGCATTTTGGTCCAATAATTTTTAGTGTAGGGGTGTGGGGATAGATGTAGGGGTATGAAGTAAAATTTCCTAAAAAATAACAGATAATATAAAACAAACAACAATAAAAGGCTAACAAGCCAAACGAAGCTTTATAACCCACAAGGAAAAATGAAAAAAAAATACCATCAGGAAAAACAAAAGACGAGGCAAAATGGTAATCATATCAAAACGGCCGAAGAAAAAACAAAAAATCGTCTTGCAATCCAAGCCTTCTTGGTGAATCTCCCTTCAATTGGAATCGATTTCCAGGTTTGCGTTAGATCTCACTTGCTCTATCACTTGGTTCCGTTTCGGTTTTATCTAAAAATCCTATTCTTCTCTTCAAATTATGAGTTACGATTTGGTTTTTGGGTTTGATTCGTGGTGGGTTTCGATGGGGGATTTATGGGTTGCTGTAGTTATGAAATGATTTGGGGTTTGGTGATTTGTTTCTGGTTTTGTTTTGCTCAATCTCTTTTCTACCCCTTATGCTCTATTTCGTTTCGCTTTTCTGTGATTCGTTTTGGGTTGATTCTTGTGAATCGTTCTGCTTTTTTGGATTAAGAGGTGGAATTTATAGAATGAGTATGAGGGTAAATATGGAAGAAGAATTTGGGAGTTGGCAATTTTGTGTAACTGTTTCGTACGTACAGGTTTGTGACATTTTGTGCAATTGTCTCATTTACAGGTTATGCATTGGTTGTATTGTTAAAATTTATGAACATTTACTGTGCAGGATGAGGATTTTGTGGGATACTTTGTGCTACAGTGATGCGTAAGGTTTCAGTGAGAATGCGTGTGTGGTTGCTGCGTAGTAGTATGGTTTGCTTTGTGGGTCCATCTGAAATATTGTGTGAAGTTTTGCTGAAAAGTTCTTTGTGTGGTTCGTTATGCAGGTGTGTAAGGGAATTGGTGGAGGTTTTATGCAACATGGTGGCTCACGTATCTGGTTCAAACAATGCTAGCTTGTAGCAACTTTAGTGAGCATGATGGCTTGGGAGTAGAAGAGAGGTGGTGCATAACGACATGAGCTAGCATGAAGCTGACTCATTCACTTTTCCATCATGCTTTTTTTCTCTTTTCTTTTTATCACTTTTGTTGTAAACGGGCTTGGCATGTAACATGCTTCATGATGCTTGCTTCTTCCTTTATTTTTCTTGCAATTGCAATTCTAACAGTTTTGTGGAAATGAAACATAATGGTAATGGGCCCTTGGTTGAGTGAATGATGAGCCAATATTTTTGAATGGAATGGACCTTGTATTTGAATTTTTTTGAAATTTGCAATTGCAATAGTCTTTGGAAATTAATTTGTACTGAACACATTTGGGTTTTTCTAAAGGGAAATAGATTTTGAAACATGAAAAAAGAGAAAGGTTTAAAATGTGGATATAATCAAGATGGATTTGGAAATTGGATAATTAGAAAATTGACTTGAAATAGATATTAATAAAAATGATAGTTGGATATTTGGTTAAAAACAGAATGTGGATATGAAATGGTTATTTGGATACAACTTGAAATGGACTAAAATAGACTAAATGAAAGCAATGGATAATGGACTGAATTTGGATATGGGGAATTGAAAATATGGATATGAATGAGTTTTGGCTACGAATTGCCGTTTCAGTGACCTTCCAACAATACTTTTGCAAATTGACTTTTCACATGAATCTCTGAACTTATGATCAACATTAGAGCCGATTCGAACTTGTCTGAATCAATCCATAACTAGCATAGTTTAAACCAATGCCATTTTGATTATGAATTAACCAAGAACTTCACCTTGAGGCAGAAAACCCTAATTAAATCTTCAACCACACAACATCTGAATCAATGCATCCTGACCTTGATTATGAAATAAACCCTTGCTTGACTAAGATTAGGTCATAACTAGATGACTTTAATCAATATTGCATACACAACTGATCTGACAGCCCTTCCTGAAACCCAACTCCTCCTTGTAGCAACGACATATTTTTTTTGGATTTTTGAATAATGGTTAATAGACGGATATACAAATGAAGGTGATATACAAGTAGTACAAATTTAGGGTATGACAACGAGTCAAGACAGGATTGTAGTTTATTCCCCCTTTAGTGTCAAGAAGAGGCACATTAGCAAAATCTCTGCAGGTATTAATGATCATTACTCCATCATAGACACAGTTGTACCAATCAATATCCGAGTGGGTAAGAGTCGTAATCTTCTGTGACCAACGACCTTTATTGAGATCCCAAAAGGAGTTAGACTTGGGCAAGTGCGAAATAAACCACTTGTACAATAAAGGTACACAACATGTAATCATTCCTTTGTTGTGAGAGTTTCTGAGATGAACTGAATGATAATCATCTGCTAGCAAGGTAGGCACTAGATTCTTCTTTATAAAAACCTTGATAGCATTAATGTCAACGAAGCCTTCGAAACTTGGGAAGAGAAACACACCATAAATGAGCAGTACAAGAATAGCCTGAAAGGTATCCATTCTCAGATGATTAGCATAATGCTGAGCTTTTCCTATCAGAAAATTTATGGTTAATCCAAAGACTCCCCCTTTAACAGTCATATTGGTTTGGATGTCAGATAACCTCAAATGTATAGCTTTGGCAATGTCTTGCTCTTTAGGTTCTTTCTCCAGAACAGGAAATGGAGATTCATCAAGGATAGGCAAACAAACCAACTGAGAATATTCTTCCAGCGTAGGCACAAGCTGGTAATCCGAGAAAGTGAATCAATGATAGATTGGATCATAGAATTGAAGTAGTGTGGAGAAAAGTCCATTGTCCACCTTAATCTTTAACAATTATAATAAATTTCCATACTCGTCCTTGAGCTTTTCTTGATCTTCAACCAAAGCTCCTAACTTCCATATGTCATTCAGTTTAAGACTCTTGAAAGTATACTTCAAAGTATTTTTCCTTTTGCAAACCATAATGATCTTATGATGTTTGCAAACAACAACTTTAAATTCCATGAAACTTTTATGAAAATGATTCTTATGAATACAAGTATGCACAAACATAGGTATACACAAATCCACACATATATACATTCAAATAGACAAAAACCTAGGTTTGAAAAATCAACGAGCATTGAGTAAAGGTGTACCCATCCCAAATGGTGTGGACTAAGTGTTTAAATGTACCTGTAGAACAAGGGTTCTAAAAGGTTCCCAAAGTCATCAGCCTATCTTTCGAATATTATCAATTTCCCAAATACTCGGTAGTTAATAATATTCTCAAGAGAACCTCTTTCGAGTGTAGTATTGCGTATCAACTATTTTGGGACTACTCCCTTATAGTCATCGCGTTATGTCTTCAGAGAGCCAAGTTGAGTTAAGGGTAACTAAAGGTTCTCAATCTCACGGGCTCCTAGGTCAAAAATAGTAGGTGTTTTCATGAATACTCGTTCAACAATACTATTCTCAAGAAGGCCTCAATTGAGTGGTGATTTCTCAAGTTAGTTTGGTCGGGAATCAACTCCCTATAAGCCTCTTTGAACATATCACCTTCCTATCATAAGTTCACCCAAGTCCGGTGTAGGACTTATCTCACCATACAAAAGTAACAACCCGAAGCATAAAACAGATATATACAGATAAATAGATATATAGATATACAACAAAATACAAATTAAACAAGTTAGGGGTAACCCTCAAAAGAAGAGTCCCTAGTGAAGTTGTCATTTCTGTCACGGTGAGAATTGAATTCAAGCTATTGATTAACTTGAATTGCAAATTGTTATTCACCATCAGTCTTTAATTTGTCCAAGGGAAGGAAAAAAGATCAAATAACTTGTGAGTATGCAATGTAATGCAAAGTTAGAGAATCTATGGTTTGGGGTTGGTTATATCTAAAGATGGTAATAGTATCCTAAGCATCTGTAGTACTTTACATGAATATCTTGTTTTATTGTGTTATTGTTGTTTACTTTTTAAGGGTGAACCTAAGGGTTTATTTCTAAGTATGCTCACCAAGACATCGCATCTCGTGCCTACGTATCCTGATGGAAATGGAATCAGAGCATTCGTAGTTCCCCTAAAAGGGTGAGGAGCTCTGACTGTTGCCAAGGTTCCAGGGGGAGAAGTTTGTTGATTGATTTTAGGAGAAGAGACAAGTCGTCATCTTAAGAATCATACTCAACTTAAACCACCACAAACATGCGAAAGACGGTTTTTGCTTCACATTAAGAGAAGAGCTTCAGCTCAGATATATAATCGACGAGTGTGCCACATACCTCTCTCAAGCGGAAAAGATTCTACATCTTTCTTGACTATGTCATGGGGTAGAAGAATTATATCTCGCTTATATAGATGACTAGTGTCTAATTCTCTCGGAGGATAAAAGGATCTTAATTGATAAGTTATCTATGAGTTGAAATTTTAAGGGAATCTATCTTAAGGATATAAGGATGTACTAAGCTAATCGACCTGAAGAGAGTCAAGGATCAAGCAATGGAGGAAATAATGCAGATGAAAATGCAGTGTATACGACTATAAAGTCAAACAGAAGTTCTACCCTTGGACGTAGCATAAGCAAAGATAAAGATTTAAAGACCAAAAAGCAATCATTAGATAAAAAAAAAAGCAAACGAGGTGTGATTAAGAAAAGATTGATCATGAAGTTGAAATTAAAAGGGGAATCTTTAGCCTAATGTTATCAGACAAGAACGTTTATCCTAAAGTCTATCTCGAGTTGAATAATCGGGGATTAAATTGGACCCAGAATATCCTAAGAAGACATGGCAAGTCAGGATCATTAAGGATTCGCGTCAAGACTTCACAAGATCAAGACAAATAAGTATCCAACGGTGTCATCAAAATTAATTAAGATTTTAAATAAGATTATTTGGAAACTTAATCAGTTAATTAAAATTTAAAGAAATCCAACTAGTTAAATTATTAAAAAAAAATTAAATAGAAGTTTAAGAACTTAATTATTGTCTAGCAACTAAGTCTAAAGTTTAAATTACAAAATAAATAAATAAAAACAAAACTAAATTTGTAAAGAAAAAAACTAAGTTGAGAAAAAAAACAATAATGAATAAAATACAAAAAAAAACTAATGGGCTCGCACCCGGCCTACCCATTGTTTCTCAAGAAAACATAACACTAAGGAACCAAAAACATGAAGAAAAAAAAACATAACAGAAACAAGCATATTATCTCTCGTCCGCTCTCTCTCTCGTCTCCTATGCAATTTCGACGATGAATCCTTCATTTCCAAACATCGTCCTTGAGGATGCGATCTCCTTTTGGCCGTCTCTCGCCCTCACAGCTTCCTCCGGGCACACGCTGATTTCGAATCCCAAGATTCCCATCCTCAAGCGTTCGCGAATCCGGTTAACAAAGGTAAAGGGAACGAGCTCTCAAACATACAATATTACATCCATTAAACACGAGATTACGTACCTCTGAAGAATTATGATGCGATGGTTTCGACAACGGCGACGACTTCGACGATATGTCTTCTCTATCCTTTCTTATCTTCTGGTTTCCTTCTTCCTCAACGTGAATTGTTGTGTGTGTGTGTGTGTGTGTGTGTGTGTGTGTGTGTGTGTGTGTGTGTGTGTGTGTGTGTGTGTGCGAAAACTGATCTCGAAGTCGTAATTTCCTTTACCCTCTCTTGTTAGGTTTTTTGTGTATATCCCCTCCTCATTTTGTTGCTTCTGTAATGCATACTTTATAGGTTAAAGGCATTTTAAAATTTTTAATTCTGAAATTAATTGTGATATTTTGTGTCGGAACATGTTTTGGAAAAGAGTTAGAGTTGAAACTTTGCTGTGATTTTCATAAATTAATTCTCATATTTGCTTTGACCGTGTTTAGATATGTTCAGATTATTTCCGATTCCTTCCTTTTTGGTCCAACATGTTTGTGAAATTTCCCTTGTCGGTGATCTTGTCTGATTATATTTGGTACCGGTTATGGAAAGAAACATAGGTTGTCGTGATCCTGGTTTCTACTT